CACCATGAATATTCCAAGAGTATTACACCACATTTGATGGGGGTTAAAGTAAAAGGCGCCAAACTTGGAGGGAAATATATTTTTACAGATAAATACATACACACATATTTAAACACGTAAGGCTCAACCTTAAACAACAGATTAGTAATTTCTTATAGAATGGGTTAATGGCCCCTGGGTGAAATACAACAATCTTTAGCTCTCTCCTCTACGGAAACTTTTTGGATCAATTTCACTGGTTTTTCATACCAAACAATACACAATAAACTATTCTGGGTCTACTATTTTGGGTCTACTTTGGGGCAGGGGTTGGGGTTTAGGAAGGAAACTCCCAAATTATGGTGGTGGGGAGGAGTAATGGTGGTGGGACTGGTGTGCAAATATTGAATGTAATCAAATACTGTGACCTTACTTTATAAAAATTTTTTAAAAAATTATGTGATCAAGTTCTATGAAGTATAATTAATACAGCTCATTTACACAGTCTCTTTAAGTTATTTTTTGATTAAGGCACCATTATTTACAATGCTATTTCAAACAGCTTTCTTCACTTAATCACTTAACTTCCCGTTAGTCGTCGATTTGCTCGAGCGGGCACCAGTAACGTCTCCATTTGTCCCTGTTGCGTGCTAGTGTAGCCCAATGGCATCTGTTCACTCTGGGAACATGAAGAGCCTCAAACCGATCGTTCATGATCTTGACGAAGAAGTCTGACCATCTGGTAGGTGGGCGGCCACGCGGTCATTTGACATCCTGTGGAATCCAGTCAGTAACAGGAAGAGCCTGGCAAGCTATCCGTTGTGTATTCGATATGCCAAAACCTGTAACTACAACTGGTCTCATTCACCTGACCCTGAAGGCTTCACCGACATGGCAGCACTGAGAAGGATGAGAAAGGAGAGGCTGACAAAATCTCAAGGCCGAACTAGGCTGCCACAACGAAGGAAGACAAAAATGATCGTCTGTACTTTCAATGCACGTACGCTAGCATCAGATGCATCCATCAAGGACCTGATGGTACAAGCGCGAATGATCAAGTACGACATCATTGGTCTGACCGAGACAAGAAGGCACGATTCTCACCATGCCATTTTCAACACTGGAGAAGAATTGTTCCTCGGAACATGCGATAAAAGAGGTGTTGGAGGCGTCGGTGTCCTTGTCAACACAAACTTGGTCATGAGCATTGATTCATTTGATTGCCTAACAACAGCTTTCTTGGTCTCTTAAAATGATTTATTGTGATGCCTTAACAGTAAAGGACAACGAACATAAACAAATTTCTAAAGTCAACAATAAAGAGTTATTAATAATATTGCACAAGGCAGAAAATTTTAATAGAATTTAGAGATCTTCTAGGGAGTTTGAGTTGAGTATATCTTCTATGACTTGAACTTACTAGAAAAAAATGTTGCCTTCAACTCAGATTTAAATTATATTTTGGTTTAAAACACTTAATTGTGCAAAGGAGTTCATCAGAGTATAAAATTCTCCAACAGAAATAAAACTACACGAAAAATTATTAACCCTTCAACTTGAGAAATTTTTTGGTTTAGAGGAATGGTCAAATAGTATTAGTGAATGAATTTTTGAAAAAAAAAGTCAGAATTTCTAGTAAACACCAGAGTTAATGACACATCTAGAACCTGTAATGGGAAATGGCTGAATGATGATCAACATCAGAGAGAAAGAAATTATTCCCAAAATAAACACAAAAGAAGATAAAAACTAGTGCAGGGCTAGGAAACTAGCTCAAGTGCTAAAGCGCGTGTCATGCAAGCACTCAGCCTCAGGTCCAACTGCCAGTACTGCAAGCCAAGTCTCACCTCCAAAGACTATTGGATTTGATCCCCAGCACCACAGAAGTTCCCCCAAGCAGGTCGGTCAGAAGTGATCCCTGAATGCAGAGCCAGGAGATAGCCCTGAGTTCACTGGGGTGTGGCTTAATATTCCCAAAGTGGGTCACTGGTTAAGGGGCTCAATGATGTTTTTTTCTTGGTATTCATATCTGTGTTTATATACTGTATTTCTTTACAGATATACGAGGACTAAGAGAATTCCAGGAAGTAAGTCAATAATCTAAGTCATCAGAAAGGAAGAAATGGTGCCTGCTTACTATGTCTTTTTGTTGTTGTTAGGTTTGGTTTTGGGGCAAAAGTCAGTGATGCTTAGAAGGTGTATAACTAAATTATACCACGAGATAGCACAGGGCTGGAGTGATAGCAAAGCAGGTAGGGTGTTTACCTTACACATGGCCGGCCCGGCCAGACCAGGTTCGATTCCTCCGCCCATCTCGGAGAGCCTGGCAAGCTACCGGGAGTATCTCTCCTGCACAGCAAAGCCTGGCAAACTACCCGTGACGTATTCATTATGCCAAACACAGTAACAACAAGTCTCACAATGGAGTCGTTACTGGGCCCGCTCAAGCAGATCGATGAACAACGGGAGGACAGTGCTACAGTGCATGCTCAGGGGATGATGTGGTACTGGACCAAACCTGGCCTCCAACACGCAAAGCATGAACTTAGCACACTAATCCATCTCTCCATAATATGCAAACATCTGATGTCAAGAAAAATAAACACTTTCCAGACATATTTTCATTCCTCTCTTCACCGATGATATAGAATCTAATTATGGTTCAGCTGCAAAAGTAAAAACTGAGAAGATATTTACCATTTCCAGATTCTACAGTAAAAGTAAATAAAGTACATGTTTGGCAATAAATGCTATTATATAATCAATAGTATTTGATTTGGATCCTGATCTTTACTTAGGGAAAAGTGTAGGGAGACAAATTGGGTATTTGGCTTTTAATTTGCTGAAGTAAAGGAAAACTTAAGATACTCAAGTTAGGAGCCAGAGAGATAACACAGGAATTGAGGCTTTTGCCTTGCATGAGGCTGATCCTGGTTCAATCCCTAGCACCACACATAGTCCTATGAGCACTGACAAGAATGATCCCTAATGCACAGGTCCAGGAGTAAGCCCTAAACACTGCCTTGATATGGCAAAACCTGGTAAGGTTTGTAGAAACAATTCAGAATAAATCAGATGTACCAAAAAAAAGTCCTAATTTTCATCATAAATCAAGATTTCTCATTAAAATGTGATATAAAAATGACTGAAAAGTTTTTCAAGGTCACTGTCACATAAAATACATTATTTTGGCTTTTGGAATATTCCAGGTGTTGCTTGGGGATCAAACCAGGATTGGTTATAAACACATGTACATATTTTCAAAGAGCAAAAATAAACACAAAGACCTTTAAAAGACTGAACCAGTGAGAGTTAAAAAAAATCTAACTACACACAGAAATTTAACTTGGCTTAGTTCATATCTGAAGTTAAGAAGAATTAGAAGACAAAAGAAAAAATTGAGGCTTCTGTAAATAACTGGAAAATATTTTAACAGTATCCTTTTCAGGATTAAAAAAATGTAGCTTTGGGGGGTTGAAGAGATAGTATAGTGGGTAAGGCACTTGTCTTGCACCCTGCCAATACTGGCTTGATCTCTTGCACATAGATATTGTCCCCCAAACACTGGCTACAGTGACCCCTAAGCACACAGCCAGAAGTGAGTCTTGAAAATAGCTAGTTATAGCCCCAAAACTCAAGAACAAAAAATGTATCTTTGCTGGTGGTGTATAACTAAATTATACCAGCTATAGAAATCTTATATATGTGAATCCACTTCTCTCAACAAATAACAGTTGTCTTTAACTCAATTTGACTTTAGAACATAACCAAAATGCCAGACTAAAGTCTATAATTATATAATCAGCAAACTGGAAATTTTAAGTTTGGTTTTAAGTAGAAATACCATATCACAGAGCCAATGAAATTTGTGCCTGTTAATAATCAGCACACATAATGGAAGCATCTTTTAAAATAGCATTGTGATCACTTTGCAAGTATACCTTAAAAATCTGCTGTATTGTATTGGTAAAATGTAAATGACTTGGGGTAACAAAAAGTTTTAGCAACATATAAATCTTCTCCACTTTGCATTCTAATTTATATTTCTGTTCAAGAAAAAAAGAGAGTATATTAAACAAGTTCTCATAGTCCACCACTGAAAACTGTAGAAAATGAAGCTGAACTTGTAGAAAAATCTGCTTTCAATAAAACCTCATATTTTATGGATAGATGTAAAATATACTCAGCATGAAATTGTCACTGATTTCCTCAGTTTGAGTGTATGTTCTTGACATATTGTTATACAACTAACCAGCAGGGAAAAAAAAAGAATTTAAGGGACTGGAGAGATTGTACAGGGGTAAGGCACTTGCCCTTGGCCTCTCAGTGAGACTCTAAGCACCTTGAGGGCAGGGACTACTGCAAGTCACAGCATCTGAGTGACCAAAAAGGAGAACAATAAGTCCTAAGTATCACTGCACACAAAACCATAATTAAAATAAAAATTAAAGACCTTTTGATAACTCTTGTCCAGCAAACCATTAAGAAAAAAACTTTCCATAAAATATTTTTTTTCAAAATCTAGGAGGATGCATTTAGTTTATGTTTTTGGTATTAATCAACATTCTAAGTACTCTTTCAATTAACAAACATATACTCTTCAAGACCTGCCAGTTCTATGGGTTGCTAACATTCCAAATCATTAAAAAAAATTACCCTAATAAATACTGATGCAAGGAAATTAATTCATGACTTAATTTTTCTTTTTAAGCATTGAAACTTTTTATTAACTAAAAAATAAATTGACATACTATAAAATCAGGAACTGAATGAACATGTACCAAAAGTTATTAATATGCCACCACTCAAAACTCTAAAAATGTGTTGTTTTCATGTACACATACATGAAATAATATAATGCCATAACAGAAGGGTGCTGTATCTGTGTTTAAAGAAGAGGTTGTTGGCAAACACCACAGCTCACTTCTGCTGAAATGTACACAACTGATATATGCAGCACAGAAAGCTGGCACCAAGGGCTTACAACCTTAATTTGCCTGCAAGAAGGAACGGAGATTTACCTTCAGAGCACGTTCTTGATTGTTTTCAGCAGTCAGATGTCTCATGTTGTTTGCTGAAGTCTGGTTCTGCTCTTTCAGATGATGAAGCTCCTGCTCTAGCCGTTTGCACTGCCACAGGGGAAGAATCCCATTAAGTAAAGGAGTTATAGCATTTTTTCACTAAGGTACATGAATTAATGTAAACAATTGTATTCTCTAAAAGACAAGATATTTTTTGCAATATGAATAGTGAGAGTGATGCTGATTATGAATAAAGTAATATTTTTATAGTACTCTGGCAATTCAGTTGCAAATTTCAATTGCAAATTTCAATTTGTCTTTTACTAATCTACATATTGCCATATAAATTAGAAAATTAATTTTTAAAAAATAAATGACACTAAACTTAAAATTATTTTTTCTAATAATCAAATGGTCTTTATATCTTTTGGCTGAAGAAAAGCATGCTTTAAAAACCTCAACGGGTTCTAAGTGAATACAATGACATATTGTTATAAATTAATTAAAGTTGAAATTATAAATTATATTTATATTTTTATAAATATAAAAAGAAACAACTTTAAAAGGAAAAACTAAGAGTAACAGTACTACAAGAGTTAGCAATAATTAGGAGAAACAATTATTATATTTAATTTTGATTAAACATTTTTATAAAACATGCAAAAAGATATTTTGATCTAGAATATAAGAAACAAGAAAAATATAAACAAAAGCATGGGTGAGTTAATGGAAACACATGTTTAAAACAATTAAAATATACCACTTTAATATATCTTAAAATAAATTTATCAAACATTTTACACAATAATAATAATGAATATAAACAGATATGCTGCAAATCATGGCTATATGAAAGCACCTGGGGCTCTGGGTAAAAGGAATAAAGCACTAAGTTCTACTTTCAAATAAAATAAATAAGATCACTTCTTGATTCATCTATTTTAAAATTGGCATTCTTAGGCAACAAAAACTTGGTAAATATGTTAAGACTTAGTTCTGTTTAAATATGCATATGAATAGATGTAATATAAATTTAAGTTATCATTACAATGACAAAACCAAGATGTAGTCAGAGTGTTGAAGAAATTAAAGCTATCATTTCTACAATATAACCAAGAAACAGTTAGAGGGTTGCAGAGATAGTCCAGGGATTAATACACTTGACTTGCATGTGGTGATGCCAGATCAATCCCCTATACTGTGTATGGTCCCCCAATATTGCCAGGATTGCCTGAGTGCACAGCCAGGAGTGGCACATAAGCACTGCTGGAAGTATCTGAGAAAAAGTGATTCAGTTATAATCCAAATTGCATTTATTCTTCTAAAATGTATTTACCAACTCTTAGTCACTGTCACCGTCCTCCCGTTGTTCATTGATTTGCTCGAGTGGGCCCAGTAATGTCTCCATTGTGACAATTGTTACTGTGTTTGGCATATCGAATACGTCATGGGGAGCTTGCCAGGCTTTGCTGTGTGGGCGAGATACTCTCGGTAGCTTGCTGGGCTCTCCGAGAGGGGCAGAAGAATCGAACTCGGGTCGGCCATGTTGGCCGCTTGCAAGGCAAATGCACTACCACTGTGCTATGGCTCCAGCCCACATGGCAAAGCCAGGCAAGCTACCTGTGACATTTTTGATATGCCAACGACAGTAACAACTAACCCTCAGTAATTTTGCCTATTTTAAAACTTTTATTTATTTATTTTGTGGTACAGGAACCAAACTCAGTTCTCATGTAAAGCACGTACTTTACCACTGAGAAACATCCCTGGACCCTGCAAAGCCTTTTAAAAGAAAGAGACTTAAAGATGACCAGATTTCCTATACTGGCTTAAATTATACACTAATACTTAGGATGTGAATATAAATGGGACATACACACTTTCCTCAGGCAACTAGAAAACCAAATATATTTACAGTCAAATATAACTACAAAATAAAAATAAAATAAATTTAGCAAATAAATTTGTGTTAAAAGTTCTTATGAGTTGTGGCAGAAAAGTGAATGGACTATGCATTAATCCACACTACCATTCCTGCCCGGAAGGGAAAGGGTGTTGCTCCCTTCCACCTTTTTCCTTCTGGACGGCAAGATGGTGACCTCCTCGGAGGTTTTTGGAAAGCCAGGTATGAGCCGGCCGTGACAGGGTAACTGAAACCTCATGGGAAGGGGGGCATTCCTGGCTCGTCCTTCAGGCCCTATCGAGGTCACGAGTTGCCCCCCACAAGCAGCTCTCTGGCATGGCCATGGCTCCAGAAGCACAAGGACTTAATGCAGAGCCCGGCAGCTTGTGGCATAAAAGTGAAAGGACTATGCGTTAATCCACATCACCATGCCTGCCCAGAGGGGAAAGGGTGTTGCTCCCTTCCACCTTTTTCCCTCTGGACAGCAAGATGGTGGCCGCCTCAAAGCTTTTTGGAAAGCCAGGTATGAGCCGGTCATGATGGGGTGACTGAAACCTCATGGGAAGGGGGGCATTCCCGGCTTGTCCTTCACGCCCTACCAAGGTCACAAGTTGCCCCCCATGAGCGGCTCTTCAGCACGGCCATGGCCCCAGAATCACAGAAACCAATCTCATAATTATCTGAATCTCGGTAGAAATACTTCCAAGCTTAATAAGTAAAATATCAGAAATCCAAAACCACATGGCCGCGATCGTGGCTATGCAGCATCATTTGGTTCTTGTAACCAACTGTAGAAAACAAATTATTTAACAATGCCTTTTCAGCAGGTCTGATTTTGGGGTATAAACTCTAAATAATAATGGTGCGTCTTTTGTCAAAACAATGAATCTAATCAAAGTAAGTAGAGTGTTAACTAGAATTCATCTGCCTCACAGGCATTGGGAGGGTTGGGAGGGGCAGTATATTGGGGTTCTTGGTGGTGAAAAATAAGTACTGGTGAAGGGAAATGTGTTTGATGATTACATGACCGAGACTTAAACCTGAAAGCTTTGTTACTTTTTCCACAGTGATTCAATAATAAATCTAAAAAAAAGTTCTTATGAGGGGCCTGGAGTGATAGTAAAGTGGGTAGGACATTTGCCTTGCGCGCAGTCAACCCAGGCTCAATTCCCAGCATCTCATATGGTCTCCTGAGCATCACCAGGAGTAATTCCCTAGTGGAAAGCCAGGAATACCCCCTGTGCCTTGCCCAGGTGTGACCCAAAAAGTCAAATAAATAAATAAAATTTCTTATGAAACCTGGCTCATATAGAGGCAGGTCATGTCAAGTTGTACCATGTATCAATCACTGTCACTGTATCACTGTCATACCACTGATTGTCAAATTACTCGAGCGGACACCAGTAACGTCTCTATTCCTCTCAGCCCTGAAATTTTAGCAGCCTCTTCTTACTCGTCTTTTCCCAAGGATTGGAAGCTCTTTCAGAGTCAGGGAAATGAGCCCTGCTGTCATTACTGTATTGGGCAGACTGAATATGCTACAGGGAGCTTGCCAGGCACTGCCCATGCGGAAGAGATACTCTCAGTAGCTTGCCAGACTCTCTGAGAGGCATATATTTACATATATTTCTCTATGATTTGTTGCCTACTGTCTGAACCCCATCAGATATGGTGTAGTAATTGTGGAAAATGGATAGGAAGTGTCTTATAATGTGTCGTGCGGTTTGGAAAGTGGCCTGGAGCAATCACATTTTTACATAATATTTTCTATTAAAGTTATTGACATTGTCAATTAAAAGGTAAAGGCAAAGGTAAAGGCCCTCCCGTTGATCGCCGATTTGCTCGGGCGGGCCCAGTAACGTCTCCATTGGAGACTTTGTTGTTACTGTGTTTGGCATATCGAATACGTCACAGGGAGCTTGCCAGGCTCTGACGTGCGGGCGAGATACTCTCGGTAGCTTGGCGGGCTCTCCGAGAGGGGCGGAGGAATTGAACTCAGGTCAGCCATGTTCGCTGCGTGCAAGGCAAATTCCCTGCCGCTGTGCTATGGAAAATTGTCAAGTTTAAAATGTAATAACAAAATATGATTCATGAAAGTACAGGAGTTGGGGTGGATAATTTTGGCACTGGAGATTAAAGAATATCCATGGAGCATAAGATACTTGCAAAGGCTAATTTGTGGTATTCCTTTTAATAATCACAGGAGATAAAGAATGACACTAGAAAGATCGGGGATATCTGTATAGAATGAGAATGCATGCAACAAGTTACCTGATTACCTATTACTTGTGCTCCCATACAAATTACAATTCATTAAAGCTTAGAAATTCTTTCTTTTATACATGAAGCATAAAAAAGCATCACTTATTCTTATTTAAGATATATATGAAAGTATATTTTCACTTCTTTATGAAGCTTGCTTAATTCAGAAATAAAATTGTGTGAAGCAACATGAACTGAGCTAAAGAAAAAAGGTTCTTGTCAAATACATGACAGGTGTTTATATTTAATCTTATTTAAAATTCTTTGTATTTATTCAATCCTTGCTATGGAAGCACAATGAATTGTTTCAATAACAAATACAAATTATTCTTTGTATATATTCTATATGTTACTTCTTCATTGATTAGCGTATTTTTTTAACCTGACTGTATAAGAGCTTTCATTACGTTCAAACTATACTATGCTTGTGGGAACTCAACAGTAGCAGAAAAACAATTAGTAAACAATTTTATTTTCAAATTCATTAACTCAATTAACTGCAAAGTTTCGTGTATGGTGGGAACAAACAGAATGAGAAGACAGTCAACTGAATGGGGTAATCTGTCTGTGCACCAAACATTTTATAATACCTAGGACATACAGAGAACTCTTCAAGCGTAACAGAAAAAATATCAAACAATGAACCTCAAATTTAAAGAGATTTTCTCCAAACAGGAATGCAAATGGATGATACATGTATGAAAGTAGGCTCATCACCAATTATCCTCAGAGAAAGGCAAATTAAAAGCAGAGTGAAAAAATGCAATCTTTTTTTGGCTGAGATAACAGCAAGTGTTGGAGAGGCTTGGAGAAAAAGGAACCCACATATACTATTGTTCAGAAAATTGTACAACCATTTTGGGAAATATAATGAAGCTTTCCTAAGAAGCGAAAGAAAGAACCACACTATCCAGCAATTTCACTTTTTCTACCTAAAGGAAAC